CTCAGTGAGTGGGGCGCCAGCCACATGCACTGAGGCACATTGAACCCAGCCTGTGCCTGCTAAACAACGACAGCCCAACCAAAAACTGCCTCGGCGTTGTGGTGGGCGCCTGTGGTCCCAGCTGCTTGGGAGACTGAGGCAAGAGAATCGCTTGAGCCTAAGAATTTGGGGTTGCTGTGAGCTGTGACGGCACAGCACTCTACCAAGGGCAACATAGTGAGACTGTTTTGTGGAGAAAAAAAAAAGACCAAAAAAAAAATTGACACAAAATAGAAGCTTGGGACAAGATAAGCTCTAGGGAAAATTTGGGAAAAGGAGCACGAGACAAAACTCAGAGAGGCTTGGGACAGGAGCAAATAGGGCACAGGTAAGATGATATGTAATTATGCGGGCTATTTTAAATATAGGTAGTATCTAAAAAAACCCACCATGCCATCCTACTAAAAGAGCATTATTCTTTATTTTAATTTATCTAAAGGCTAAGATATAGCCAATGTAAAGATCATGTTGAGTGTGTATTTGTTTTTGTATGCTAACATTTGTCTGTCATTTTCCAGATTTGACATTATTTCAAATTTCAGAATCTTTGCTGAAATAGCTATTTATTCGCTGAAATAGCTGAAATTATTCGTACACATGTGTGAGCACACACCTCCATCTGAACAGGTGTCAAACACAGCAGTGAATTCCTGTAACTGTATCGGTGGTGTCAGCTATTAGCAGTTGGCCACGAAACCACTGAACCAGTGCTGGAAAAAAGATGAGGTGGAGGGCAGAATCGGCACACCTGGATGACTAACGTACCATAGTACCTTCTGGTTCAATTGTCAAATATCTTGTTATGGTACCACCAGGCACAGAGAAGAAATAGTTAAACAGCAGACACTGCCATAGCTGGAATGAAAGGTTTGTATTATGGGGACATTAAGAAGGATCTGAAGGCTTTCATTTTAAAATTTAAAATGATGTCCTTTCAATGGTGCAACTGTTTTAAAGAAAGAGCAAAGTTATAACAGTAACTGGCATTTGCATAATACAGTTCATCTATTGGTTCTAGGCATTGGGGCTGTAGCAATGAGTAAAACCGATGAAAATCCCTGCCCTTGGGAACCCTGTGGGCTCATGGGGGAGACAGACATGGATGAATAAACCAGGAAAATACAGATTGTGAGAGAGCTAAGAAGAAAAAATAGCAGGAAAAGAGAACAGGAATAAGAGAGTAGGGAAGACTGTGGCCCGATGGTCACTACTTTATAATTATAAGGGAAGGTATATTTATTACTTACCAGCTCTAAAGACT